AATAAGACCACCATCCCCATCTTCCCCAGCCAGACTGGAGGGAGGCTGGGGAGGATGCAGCCGAAAGCCAAATGGAAGCAGCCCTGGGATATGCCGCGCTGGGGGGTGGGATGGGCATTGTAGTCCATCAGTGGGACTGGCTGGCGTGGATGGGAGCGATGGGAGGTGGAGTCCCAGCTAGACGATGGGAGGTGGAGTCCCAGCTAGGCTTGAAAATGGTAGGCCTGAAAGGGTAGACAGAACTCGCTCCAATTGGGGATGATGGAAGCTGGAGTCCTGGCAGATGAAACAACTCCCAAGGCCATGGAGAATGGGAGCTGGAGTCCAGGCAGCTAAAAGATCCATAGGAAAGTTTGCATTGACTGCGGATGATGGGAACTGGAACCAGGCCTATAAAAAGCCCCACTGAGGGCAGGGCCAGCCGGGGAGTATGGGAGCTGGAGTCCAGGCACATAAAAGACCCAGATGGGGAGATGTTCTGGCTGGGAATGGTGGGGACTGGAGTCCAGGCATACAAAAGACTCCTAGGAAGGGTAGGACTAGGGAGGATGGGAGAGGGAGTCCAGGCATATAAAAGACTCTTCAGGGGCCAGGAGCGACACCCGGGGATCATGGGAGTTGGAGTCCAGGCATGCAAATGGCCCTTAGAGTTGGCTGCTCTAGCCAGGGACGATGGGGGCTGGAATCCAGGGACATAAAACCATCGAAGGTGGGCTACCGCGGCAGGGGATTATGGGAGCCAGTGTCCAGGCAGGCAGTGACCTCTACGGTAGGTCGCTCCACTAAGGGACTCCACCCGGGGATCATGGGAGTTGTAGTCCAGACATACAAATTATACCCCGAAGGTGGGCTACACCAGCCGGGGATGATGGGAGCTGGAGTCCAGGCAGGCAAAATGACCTCTACGGTACATGATTGGAGCTGGAGTCCTTGCATAACAAATGACCCCGAGGCTCGGCTGCTTCGGCCGGGGACGATGGGGACGGGAGTCCCCGGCATGCAAATGACCCCTTGGGGGGGTCCGTCCCGGCCGAGGACGATGGGGGCGGGAGTCCCAGGGAGCCACTCACGCTGGGCCGATGCTTGACTTGGTGGCGGAGGAAGCCAATCAGGCCCGAGCTGGAGGCGGCAGGGGAGGCGGCGGCGGCCGGAGGGACGCGGGACTGCGCTTGCTGCTGCGACATGGCGGCCAGATCAATGTCAAGCCAGGACCCCGCGCAGGCACTCAAGTAACCACCTCTGCGGAGGACCGCGCATGCGCAACAGCCCCCCTCTGCGGAGAACCAAGGATCACGAGGCCGCTCTGCGCCTACGCGACAGCCTTTCCCCCGCCCGCCTACCCAACTGCGCCTGCGCGCTCAACTTGGCCGCCAGGGGGCGACCGAGACCGCGGAGGGAAAACAATGCAGAGAAAAATCGTAAGCTAACCGAGTTCGGGCTGGATCAAAAGGACAGACCCCGCCATAGAGACTCCGCCTAGCGCGGCGTGCCTCTTCTCTACGTAACAGGAAAAATCTCAGAGGTGGAGACACTGCTTACGCTCGGCCAGAAATGCGGGGTCCGTCATTTGTTTAGTCGACCAGAAGGTCGGACCTCCCGCCATAGAGTGTCTTCCTAGCGCGGCATCCTTTTTTCCCCCCTCCCTAACCGGAAGCGCCTCTCCATTGTTCAGCCGACCGGAAAATCGGATCCCAGCCATCGAGACTAACCGGGGCTTCCCTTTTCTCCACCAACTAACCGGAAAGCTTCGCCACCGCCGAGAGCGGGGGAGGGAGGAAAGGAGAGAGAGAGAGCTGCCTCCTAGTGCCCTCTTCCTCTCCCTAACAGGAAACCTCCCCCTCTATTCTTTTGCCGACCAGTGGGTCGCACCCACTCACGGCATAGAGTCCCCTTCTAGCGCGGCCTCCCTTCTACCATCTCTACGAGGAAGCTGCACCCCCTCCCGCCATAGAGTATCCCTCCCAGTGCGCCCGCACTTTTCCTCTCCCTAACCGGAAACCCCACCTCCATAGAGTACGCCCTCTTAGCGCGTCTTCCCTTTCCTCTAACCACCTAAACCGGAAAGCCCCGTTGGCACCCATAGAGAGAGAGGCACTAGAGCGGCTTGCTCAACCTTTCCGAGCGGAAGTGCTGTCGTCCGCGCGGCTTTCCCTTTCCGCTTCCGGGGCCGGCCTCTGGCAGGGCTGGCATTTAAACTCCCGCCGCCGGCTGAGGCGGTTCCATTTCCTCCTCCTTCTCCTCCTCCTGGCATCTTCGGCGACCGCGGCGATGTTCAGCTGGCTGGGCGGCGACGACCGGCGTCGGAAGGACCCGGAGGTTTTCCAGACGGTGAGCGAAGGGCTGAAGAAGCTCTACAAGGCCAAGCTGCTGCCGCTGGAGGAGCACTACAAGTTCCACGAGTTCCACTCGCCCGCCCTGGAGGACGCCGACTTCGACAACAAGCCCATGGTGCTGCTGGTGGGCCAGTACTCCACCGGCAAGACCACCTTCATCCGGTAGGGGGCGCCCTTCTTTGCCCGGAGGAGGAGGAGGAGGAGGAGGAAAGCGCCAAAATTTCATCGAGGGAACTACAACTCCCATCGTCCCCCGTCTGGCTGGAACCGATGGGCCTCGAATCAGCTGGGTTGGGGAGGGATGGGCGTCGACCTTCCGTGGGTAGCTCTCGAATTGGAGGGGGGGGCTTTAAGGTTGGCGGGACTACAACTCCCATCGTCCCTCGGCTGGGAGAGTCTATAGCCTTGTTGGCTTTGCAGTCCTTGGGCGAGCCTCAAGTGGGGCCTCTTTGAAGGTGGGCAGGGAGGTTGGCGGACTACAACTCCCATGATCCTCCCCCAGCTGGGATGGATAGGGAGAATAGCCTTGTTGGCTTTGGAGTAGTGATTAGATCTCCAATTGGGCCTCTTTGAAGATGGGACTACAACTCCCATCATCTACTGCTGGGATCGATGAGCAGCATAGCCTTGCTGGCTTTGGAGTAGTTGGGCTATTCTTAATTGTTAGTGCTCCAATTGGGCCTCTTCTAAGATGGGGGAACTACCACACCCATCACCTTTAGGATCTGTGGGTGAATAGCCTTGTTGGCTTTGGAGTCATGGGCGCCCTTCAACTGATGGTTCTTGCCTAGTCTTTCTCCAATGGGTGGGCCTTTAAGAGGGTTGGACTACAACTCCCATGATCCCCCTAGCTGGGACCAATGGGGAAAAAAGAGCCTTGTTCGGTTGGCCCTCAACTCCCATCCCACCTGATGTTTCTCAGAGCTGGGCCCCTTTCAGAGGGGGTGGACTACAACTCCCATCATCCTCCCCAGCTGGAATTTGATTGGCACCAGAGGCTTGTTGCGATGGGGCTGGAAGTCATGGGCTCAAGCCCTCCTTTGGTGTCTCTCATTGAAGACTTCTCAAAAGAGCGGCCCCCGCTTTAAAATGGGGTAGACTACAACTCCCATGATTCTTTCCCCCCCCCCCCCCAGGTTGGGTAGATGGGGGAAAGAGCCTTGTTGGCTTATGGAATAACACTCAACACACACCACAAAGAAACGCCCTCCACCAGGGATGGGATTCAACCGGTGTTACTACCCGTTTGGTGACCATGTTTTGCCATAAATGCAATTTATTTGTGGGCTCTTGAGCTGTCGGGTTTTCTTGCAAACATCTCGTGACCCAGCTAGGGAACATCATCAGCCAAGGAAAGAGGGTGGATGGACTGTGGGGTACTTGGTGCTCCTTGAGACATCTCACGACCAAACCTCCAGAAGCTGTGAATGTGCCAACAATGGAAGTTTTTAAGAAGAGATTAGACAACCATTTGTCTGGAATGGTCGAGGGTTTCCTGCCTGAGCAGGGGCTGGACTAGAAGACCTCTAAGATCCCTTCCAACTCTTGTTATTCTATTCTATTCTAATTGCAATTCTGTTCTACTCTCTAATTCTAATTTCTATCTATTATATTCTCTATTTTGTAGACTATATTTTATTTTCTATTTTTTCTAATTGCTATTCTATTTAATTCCTTTTTCAATTCTTTCTCATTGCAATTCTGTTCTATTTTCTATTCTTATTGCAATTTTATTCAATTCTATTTTCTATTTCTAATTGCTATTCTATATTCCATTTTGATTCTATTTTCTATTCTTTCTAATTGCAATTCTATATTCTATTTTGATTCTATTTTCTATTCTTTCTCATTGCAATTCTGTTCTATTCTATTTTCTAGTCTTTCCAATTGCAATTCTTTTCTTTCAGTTCTATTTTCTATTCTTTCTAACTGCAATTCTGTTCTATTCTGTTTTCTATTCTAATTTTAAATCTATTTTTTAATATTCTATCTAATTGCAATTCTATTCTCGAATTCTATTGCCTATTCTTTCGCATTGCTATTCTTTTCTATTTCTAACTGCAATTCTGTTCTATTCTTTCAATTCTATCCTAGTTTCGATCGTATTCTATATTTTGTAGTCTATCCTCTATTCTATTTTTGATTCAATTCTATTTTCTATTTTGTTCTATTTCTTTTTGATTCCTATTTTCTACTCCATTCATTTTAATCTTATTTTCATTCTATTTTATTGTTGTTTTTATTTTTACTTATTCTATTTTATTTTTACTGTTTTATTTCTTTGGTTTTATTTTTATTTTTTTAATTTGTTTTATTTTATTTATTGTATTGAATTTCTTTGTTTTATTTTTTTCTTATTTTCATTTTATTTTCTGGGGAGGGGGTGTTTCCTTAAAACAAGATTCTCGCTGCTTCGATCTTGCATCCATTACACGTTGGGTTGATATCAAACAATGTCCTGGAGTTATGACCGTCTTAAGCTGTGCCCGCAGTGGTCGTAATTCAATCATGCTCATTTCTGATCACATTTCTGTTCCAATTTTATTATCCTTTTTTTGTGACAGTCGTTAAATGAACACCGTGGTTGTTAAGCAAATCCATTGTTGGAATGCAGGGTGGGTGGAAATAAATCCCGGGTTTGGGCACAAATGTAAATTGTGGTCAGATGTCCATAGGAATTGAACCCCCATCTCTTCCATCGCAATGCGATAGTCCTCATTTTATGACCGCAATAAAACACATCCAGCCATTTCCATCATTAAGTGACATGCTTGCGAAGTCATTGCGGGGCCCATTTTGGGGGACCGTTCCTGCTAGCATCACGCAGAGCTGCCATTGCTCCGTTGGGTCATGCGGTTGTTAAGTGAATGCAGTATTCCCCCCTCCCCCTTTGCTTATTGCAAGGTCTCAATTTCGAATCGGTGTTTTTCCAGCCTTCTCGTTTAATACCCGATAAATCTGATTTATCTTTCTTCTTTGATAATTCTCCTGATCTTTGAACCAGGTTTATTGTCACTACTATGAACCTTGGTATACCTTTCCTTGGATTGGCACAAGCTACATTTTAACCACAGTTAATGATTAATCAAATGCGCGGTCATTAATAAAAGAGCTCAGCTTGGGGGGGGGGGTTCCACCTGATTTATTACTATTTTATGATGTGCCTCGTCTTTGTCCCAATGTACAATCGCCCTGCGGAAGGTTGAAGTAGGAATTCAAACAAACCAGGTTTAATTAGGATGGGTTTCGCCCCCCCCCCCTTTGGTGCATCCGATAAGGATGATGGTCTTTTGAGTGGCTTTGAAGAGAGGCTTGTTGGGGGTTGGTTAGTAGTTTGCATAGTCATAAATTGGGGGGGGGTGTTAAAAGTTGCGTCAGAGCCAAGAGAGAGCCAAGACCTCAATTTTAATGCAGGCTTTTTAAAAAAAAAAACTGGGTTTAATGTGGGAGAAGGAAAATGGTCAGGCTGCATCCCAGCATGGTTGGCTGGGGAATGCTGGGAGTTGAATGCCACTCATCTGGATGTGACCGAGGTTGAGAATGGGATGGAGGGATGAATGGGAGAGAACGAGAGAGAGAGAGAGGGAGGGAGAGAGAGAGAGAGAAAGAAAGAAAGAAAAAGAAAGAAAGAAGGGGAGAGAGCGAGAAAAAGAAAGAGAGGGAGAGAAGGAAGGGGGGAGAAAGAGACAAAGAAAGATAAAGATAGTTCATTTCAACATGCTGCCTGGAGGAAGTTCTGGGACTTGAAATCCACCGACTCATGTTGGCCAAAGTTGAAAACGGATGGGGAGAAAGAAAGAAAGACAAGCAGAGAGAGAGAGAGAGAGAAACAAACGGGTGTGGGGGGGAAAGATCAGAGACAGAGACACACACACAGAGAGAGAGAAATTAGTGCTTCTCAACATGCTGCCTGGGGAAATCTGGGAATGGAAGTCCTCCCATCTTCCAGCAGCCAAGATTGACAAACCCTCTTCCAGAAAAGCCGAGATCAGAGTCGGTCTGTTTTTTTAAGGCCAGCCAAGCGCAGCTGGAAACGCCCGTCCAGTTCTGGCCTTCTCCAGCTGTGCCTTGACACTCTCCTCCTCCTGCTCCTCCTCGCTGGAAAAAATAAAATTCAATCCAAGTCTCTTCTGTCAAAGCTGGCTTGTTATTTCCATTCCTCCTCTTAACCCGGCTTGTTTGTCTGCTGTGTCAGATCCGCTCAGTCATCTTCCACCATCATCCCTCCTTGGTTGCAATATAAACCACATTCCGCCTTGCCAATTCAGTCCCAATAGGGCCATCCTCGACTTACGACCATCACTGAGCAAGGCTGTCATTAAGCAAGTTGGGTCCCCATTGGACCCCCTCGCTTGCCACCGTTGTTGAGGGAATCCCTGCCCGTTGTTGAGGGATGCTTGTGAAGTAAATCTTTGCTGCTTGTTCACTTCAGGTAGTCCTCAAGTTACGACCACAGCGGAGCCCAAAATTTTGGTCGCTAAGTGAAACATTTGTTAAGGGAGTTTTGCCCCATTTTATGACCTTGCTTGCCACATATCTTCTTATTGTCTGGTTTCTTTTTCAAATGATGGCTGGTCTACTTGATGTCTGGTTTTTTGTGTCAATCATGGCTTGTCTACTTGATGTCTGTTTTTTTGTGTCAATCATGGCTTGTCTACTTGATGGCTGGTTTCTGGTACCAAACATGGCCTGTCTACTTTCTCATGCCAGTCATGGCATGTCTGTTTGCTGTCTGGTTTCCGAACCAATGATGGCTTGTCTGCTCGATGTCTGATTTCTGTTACCAAACAATTTGTGTGCTTGATGTCTGGTTTCAGGTACAAATGATGGCTTACTTGATGTCTGCTTTTAGGTACCAATGGTGGCTTGTCTGCTCAATGTCTCGTTTCTGATACCAATGATGGCTTGGGTACTTCATATCTGGTTTCAGGTACCAATGGCGGCTTACTTGATATCTGGTTTCATGTACCAATCATGGCTTGTCTACTCAAACTCTGGTTTCAGGTACCTGCTGGAGCAGGATTTCCCCGGGATGCGGATCGGTCCTGAACCCACGACGGACTCCTTCATCGCAGTGATGCAGGGCGATGTGGAAGGGATTATCCCTGGCAACGCCCTGGTGGTGGATCCCAAGAAGCCCTTCCGGAAACTCAACGCCTTTGGCAACGCCTTCTTGAATCGGTCAGTTCCAAACTGGTTTGACTGGGGGAAACTGGTTTTTGAGGGAAGGCTGGGTCAGGCGAACTCGCTCTCCATCAGTTCTTCCATGTAGAAGAGCTTGGTTTTTCTGATCTGTCAATCACCTTTTTTCAGCTTCCAAAATCTTAACCATGTTTCCCCTGAAAACAAGACTGGGTCTTATATTAATTTTTTTGCTCCAAAAGACACATTAGGGCTTATTCTCCAGTTGGGTCTTATTTTTGGAGAAATATGGTATGAAATGAGTCCGTCTAGCTGGCAGTCTTAACTGGGGATAATTTTTAGGGTAGAGCTTCTATTACAAGCATCCTGAAAAAAACCATGCTAAGCCAGGGGTCCAGTTCCCCCACCATAGAGTCTCCTCCTAGCACGGCAACGTTTTTTCCTCTCCCTGTCCTAACCGATTGTGGAGCCCACTAGTGACAGGGAGCTGCAGCAGACGGATAAAAGAGCCACCTGCTCCAGAGCTGCGAGTTGCCAACCCCTGTGCTGGGGCTTATTTTCAGGGAAGCCAGATACTTCTAACTGACTGCAGGTGGTCCTCGCTTAGTGACCGCTCCACTTAACGACTACGGTTAGAAAGGCCATCTCATGACCTGATTTTGGAGTTCTCTCTCTCCATCTCTCTCTCTTTTTCACTCTCATTCCCTTCGCTCATTTCCTTTCTCTCATTTTCTCGCCCTCCCTCTCCCCTTTTCTCTCCCTTTTCTTTTTCATTCTCCCTCTTTCTCCGTCTTTTTTCTCTCACTCATTCTCTTGTTCCTTCTCTCATTCTCTTTCATTCTCCCTCATCCTCCTTCCCTCCCTCCCTCTTTACCTCTCTTTCTTTCTCACTCCCTATATCTCTCCATCTCTTTCTCTCTCTCTCTTTCTCCCCTTCTTTTTCATTCTCACACTCCCCTCTCATACTTTCTCCATCTTTTTTTCGCTCACTCATTCTCTCGTTCCTTCTCTCTCTCTCTCTTATTCTCTTTTTTGCTTTCTCTTTCATTCTCTCTCTCATCCTCCTTCCCTCTTTCCCTCTCTCTTTTTCTTTATCACTCCCTATATCTCTCCATCTCTTCCTTTCTCCCCTCTCTCCCTCTCTCTCTTACACACACACAAACACAAAAAAACACAAAATTCTATTTTTCTTTTCTCTTCAATAATTCAAGGTGTTCCCCCCCCCCTTTTCCCCCCCCCCTCAGATTTGTGTGTGCCCAGTTGCCGAATGCGGTCCTGGACAGCATTAGTGTGATTGATACCCCAGGCATCCTTTCCGGAGAGAAGCAAAGGATCAGCCGAGGTGATTCCATGGTTGTTGTTGTTGTTGTTGTTTTTTGGGGGGGGGGGGGGGGGGGACGTTGAACTAGGAAAAGTTAATCAGAGAAGAGATTTGGAAGGGACCTTGAGGGGGAGAGGGGGGTCATTTAGTCCAGCCAGGCGTGGGCACGGGAGCGAATCAGGCACGCTGTGAAGTTCCATACACACACACACACACACACACACACTGCCCTCTTGTTGGGGGAAATAAATATTTCTGGTTTTTTTTTTTTCCTTCCTTTTTGAGGATGTTCCAGTCCTCAGCTGCGTGGATTGAAATGTTGACTTTGGCGAGAGATGGAGAAAAACTTAAAAAATAAAAATTCAGTGTCTGTGGAGATTCTTAGTCATCCAGGTATAGGGTTTCCTGCCTTAGCAGGGGGCTGGACTAGATGACGCCCAGGTTCCCTTCCAACTCTATTATTCTGTAAGAGTCCCCCGCGCGAGCAGGGGGGGGGGGGCTGGACTAGATGACCTTCAAGGTCCCTTCCAACTTTGTATTTCTATGATTCTATGAATCACGGCTTGGGCAAAGATGGGTAAAACCGGCGTTCCCATCTTCAATTTGGAAAACGGGACTCCTCTCCCCACTTCCCCCGTGTCCAAATTGGGTCTATAACAGGCTCACTGCAGCCGGGTGGGCGTGGCTGAGTGGGCGTGGCCATCTAAGTTCCCTTAGGTGGGCCTGGCCATCTGAGTGCCCCCACCCCCGAGTGGGCATGGTTGTGGGCGTGGCCAACTAAGTTCTGCCGGGTGGGCGTGGCCATCTGAGTTCCCTCAGGTAGGTGTATCCATCTAAGTGGGCGTGACCACCTCTGCGCCCCCCCCCTCGCTCCGAGGTGGACATGGCCGAGTGGGCGCAGCCCCCTTGAGTTCTTGGCCATCTGTGTGCCACCAGCTGGGTGTGGCCGAAATGGACCGCCGTCAGTCATGAGGACGGCTGGATATCTTCCAGTCAGCAGATGACTTTTTCATTTCATTTCATATATTTGAAGATGGGGAGAGCTTTTTGATTGATCCTCGCTCGACTGGCCGAGCGAGGAGAGGTTTTGCAGATTATGCAACTGCTCTTCATTAGGACTGCCTGAAGAAATTAATAACAATAATAGTAGTAATAGAAATAGTAGTCATAATAATTATGTGCAAATAATAATTAGGGCTTATATTGGGCACACATGGAAAATCAAGCTAGGACTTACTTTCAGGATAGGGCATATTTTTGGGGACCAGAATAATGATGATGATGATGATGTGTGAATAATAATAATACTTTGCTAATAATAAAAAAAATACCCTGGCAGCCACCCGTATCAACCATTAGCTGGCCTTTGTCACTGGCCTTTGTGATAAATTTTTAAATGTTCAGTTGACAGAGTTTCACTTTTTTAATGCATAAAAGAGATCGTTGTCGTCACCATATTTGTGATACATTTTTAAATGTTTTAGTCGACCGAGTTTCATGTTTCATGAATAAAAGAGATCACAGTAATTTTGCAAGCTGCCCCTGGCGTAATTCTCCGTCAGCAAATATCCTTTACCTCTCTCCCTACCGCCCCCACCCCGGATCGTTCTGAAATCTAAATTATGTAAGACGATGTTCTTCCAAAAGCTTCATTGTGGGTTTATTGAATAGTAGATAGCATCACAATCCTCAGATATACCGGAATTCGATAATAGGCAGAATTTAATGGAAAGCTTACAATGGGCTCCAGATGAAATAAGAGCGTCCAGATCTTTGGAATAGGAGTGCCGATAAATATTTAATTGAATTGGAACTTAACTTCCATAGTAGCAGAAGAACAAGAGTGGTGAGGGAGCTTGGAAGGTCATCTAATCCAACCCTCCACCGCAACCCCCTCCCTAGCAGGAGACCCTTACACCATTTCTGACAGTTGGGGCAGTCCAATCTCTCCTTGAAAGCTCCCAGTTCGTTTCGTTTAATAGTTTTGTTTAAAAAGATTGAATTGGTTTTGTTTAAATTATTTAATGTAATTAAAATTGTGACTTGAGTTACAGCATCTCATGTCATGATTTAATTTTGTTTTCTATTTGATTGAATTATGTAATTTAGTTCAGTTCAATTTCATAATTGAATTTCATGTGTTGAATGGATTTCATTTTGTCATTTCGTTTAATTGCTTAACTTTCATTAATTTTACTTAATTTTTAAATAAATTCTTTGTTTAATGTAATAATTTCATTTATTTTTTATTTTAATCTATTTTTTATTTAATTTAATAGTTTAACTTTTTAATTTAATTTAATTTAACTTTTATTGAATGTAATTAATTTAACATCAGTTAATATCAGTTAATATTAATTTAACATCAGTTAAATTTATTTTTTTATTTAATTTAATGATTTTACTTTTTAATTTAATTTAACTTTTTTATTGAATGCAATTAATTCAACATCAGTTAATGTAATTAATTTAACATCATTTAATTAATTTATTAGTTAATTTAATTTGATATATTTTATTATGTTACATTTGATTTTAGATATTATTATTTGATGTTTCATATTATTTTACATTTTATTACTTTTTCTTTTATAATTAAAAATATTTTCAATTTTTTAATTTAATTTTTAATTATTTTAGTTTGATTTTTTTAAACTTGATTTTTTAATTTTATTTCTAATTAAATCTCTTGGCCACCCATCTTATATAAGATAAAGGGCAACTTGGAGTGGCTTATATTGTTGAAAAGCATAACTGTAGAAAACCTACATATTAATATTTTTAAAAGAACAAAATACAAGGCAAATATACCTCATACTCTTTCCTCCTCCTATGTATCCACAACAATCCTGTAAGGTGGGCTGGGCTGAGGGAAAGGGACTGGCCCAAAGTCACCCAGTTGGCTTTCATGTCTAAGGCGGGACTAGAACTCACCGTCTCCTAGTGATTGGCCCAAAATCATCCATCCGACTTTCATATCCAAAGTGGAACTAGAACTCCCCATCTTCTGCTCCTTGGCCCAAAGTCACCCACTTGTCTTTGCTGTCTTGAAGGCTGGAGACTAGAACTCCCGAACGCCTGGTTCTTTTCCTCGCTTGTCTTTAAAAAAAAATCCCTTCTTTTTTTCGCTCTTCCCCGGCCAGGCTACGATTTTGCCGCCGTCTTGGAGTGGTTCGCCGAGCGGGTAGACCGCATCATCCTCCTCTTTGACGCCCACAAGCTGGACATCTCCGATGAGTTTTCGGAGGTGATCAAAGCCCTGAAGAACCACGAGGATAAGATGCGTGTCGTCCTCAACAAGGCCGACCAGATCGAGACCCAGCAGCTCATGCGCGTCTACGGCGCCCTGATGTGGTCGCTGGGGAAGATCGTCAACACCCCCGAGGTCATCCGGGTTTACATTGGTTCCTTCTGGTCTCACCCGTTGCTCATCCCAGATAACCGGAAGCTCTTCGAAGCTGAGGAGCAGGATCTTTTCCGCGACATTCAGAGCCTGCCCCGGAATGCCGCGCTGCGGAAACTCAACGACCTCATTAAACGGGCCCGCTTGGCCAAGGTGAAAGAAGCGTGCAGAAGGGTTTGAGTAGTACTGGGAGGTTGTTTGGGTAGATCTCCTGCTTCTTCTCTTCCTTCTCCACCTTCTTTTTCTTATCCTGTTCCTTCTCTTTTTCCTTCACTTCCTGCTACTCTTTTTTCCTTCTACTTTTCCTTCTCGTCCTCTTTTTACTCTTCCTTTTTTTCTCCTTTTCCTTCTTCTTTTCCTCCTTGTCCTCCTCTTCCTTTTTACTCCTCCTTTTACTTCTTCTCCTCTTCCTTCTCCTTTTTCTTCCCCTCCTCCTTCTCTTTTTATTTTCCTCCTCCTGTTTCTTTTCTTTCAACTCCTCCTTTTACTACTCCTTCTCTTCCTTCTCCCCTCTTCTTTTTTCTCCTCCTTTTACTACTCCTTCTTTTCCTTCTCCTGTTTCTTTTCCTTCTTCTCCTTTTCCGTCTCCTCCTCCTTGTCCTTTTAGTCCTTTTATTTCTCCTCTTCCTCCTCCTGCTTTTCCTTCTTCTCCTTCTCCTCTTCTTCCTCCTGCTTCTACTTTTTCTTTCCCCTCTTTTCTTCCTCCTCCATCTCTTCCATCCTTCTGGCACTGATAACATTCCTTAGCTGGGTAAGGAAATGTCGGAGAGACAATCAGCCAACTTGGAGAGCACCCGAGATCCTCAACCAAGCCTTTTTAGAATGGCAAAAACGTAATAAAGACAGAAAAAGAGAACATAATATTTTTTTTTATTTTATTTAAAACAAATCCTCACAGCTGCTTGACATACCCATAGGGGGGACTCAGAATCTCACCCTGGCTACCGATCTCTTTCAGATCTGAATATTTATTGTTATTGTTGCTATTGTTGTTGTTACCTATGTTTCCATCAAAATAAGACCCTGTCTTATAATTTTTTTTTGCCACCAAAAAAGGCAAATGTCAATTCATAAAATATTTCTATGGTCTTTTCAGAGTCGGCAACAGAAAGGGAGGGGG